CGCTTACCTCGGCCTCTCAAAGTGCTGGGATTTCAGGCATGAGCCACCATGCCTGGCCCCCTTTTGGCTTTTAACATGGACAAAGCAAATTACTTTTCCACTTCACCAGCCCTTCTCTTGTTGTTTGCTTCTGAAGAACCCAATTTAAGACAAGGCACCTCACACAACTGCCTCCTCCAGTACACCCTCCGTATTGGTTGCCAAAGTATTCGTTGCAAAAACAAAGTCTTTGAATGACAACAGCTGTTGCTGAATGAGATCCCTTAGTACCAAGCTCTCTGGACAAATACTCCAGGTAATGTCAGCAGCATTCTCACATCCTTCAGAAAACTGAGGTGCAGAGAGACTCCACAAATTGCCTGAAGGGCTAGTCTAGAAAAAGGCAGAACTCAGCCTTGTACCTCATCCCACATAAGCACCGTGCTGTCCTGCCGAAGAGCTGGGTCACGTGGTCACTTCCAGCTTTGAGGAAAGCTTTTTTTCCTTCCTCTTTTTTGTTCTGAAAATTTTCACATACATAAAACAGTGAAATAATAATATAGTGGATTCTAAGATACAGTCACCTAATGTTAATATTTCTTTTCCACACCATTTGAGTGTAACTTGTAAACATTATGGCACTCCACTCCTAAATATTTCAGCATGCATTTCCCAAGAACAAGAAGATGAACATTAATTCTACAGTATCATCTAGGACACTATTCCATATATAAAGCATTCCCAAAAAACCTAAGTATCTTTTGATAGCTTTCCTGTTGTTGCTGTTGTTGTTTTAGTTCAGGATCCAGTTAGGATTCACTGATGCATTTCAGTGCTATGCTTCCTTCGTCTCTTTTTAAAATGTCTTATTATTTTGTTATTTTATTTTATTTTTTAGAGACAGGGTCTCACTGTGTCACCTAGCCTGGAGTGCAGTGGTCTAATTACGGCCCACTGTAGCCTTGACTTCCTAGGCTGAAGTACTCCTCTCACCTCAGCCTTCAGAGTAGCTCAGACTACAGGCACACACCACCACACCCAGCTAATTAAAAAAACTTTTTTTTTTTTAGAGATGAGATCTTGCTATGTTGCCCAGGCTAGTCTTGAACTCCTGGCCCCAAGTGATCCTGCCACCTTGGCCTCCCAAAGTTTTGGGATTACAGGTGTGAGCCACTTCTCCTGGCCTCCTTCGTCTTTTTTAAGCTATCTTTTTTTTTTTTTTTTTTTTGGTTTTGTTTTCTATGACATTGACCTTTTGGAGGAGTCCAGGCCAGTTGTTTCCTAGGATGTTTCTGGGTTTGTCTGACTGTGTCCTCGCCATTAGATTCAGGTTACACTTTTGACGAGAATACTACACGGGAGATGTTTTGTGTTCCTTGTTGTATCACTTGGGGAGGGACATTGTGCCAAATGGTCCCACTATTTGAGATGCTAAATTTGGTCATTTGGTTAAGGTAGTGACTTCCAGGTGTCATCATTGTAATAGGTTTTCCCTTTGTAATAAATAAATCTGTGGTTGGGTGGGAGGGAAGGTGTTGTGACAGGTCCACTCATGGCTGCCTAGTACCCAGTTCCCACTTCCCTGCAACAGAACCCCAATTTCCTTTGCTGCAGGAAAAAATCAGCACAGATGTCTTCGTGGCCCTCTGAATACTCAGTGGCTGTTGGGCCCTGTGGCCAGGTATAATGGCTCATGCCTGTGATCCGAACACTTTGGGAGGCCAAGGTAATCCCAGTACATTGGGTGAATAGCCTGTTCCCCAACAATTTTTCCACTCAATGACTTTAGTATCCTTTGACAATTTTTGCCTCATTTAGTTAATCCTCTGAAAGTGGAAAAATGGCAATTTAAAAAATATCAAATTCCCGCTGTACTGGTTAGCTGGCATTTTTTTGCAAAGAAGAATCTCCCTACTCTCTTTCCCATTCTCTCTGTCACTCTCTGCCTCTCTTCCTCCCTCTCACTAGAATAGGCTAATGGATTTAAAACAATTAAATGTGCTATAAGCCATTACTCTTTCTATTCTTCTTGATGTTCAAGTTGTCCCACATCTGACTACTGGGAGCCTAGGAGGCAATTTTTTCTAATTGGGCACATGCCTGCACCCAGGAAATTGGGGTTCTGTTGTAGGGAAGGGAAAACTGGGTGCCAGGTAGCCACGAGCAAACCTGTCACAACATCTTCCCTCCCCAGGGCCTCAGTTTTTTGGGCCTTAGAACAGGGTAATAAAACTCCAGGATGATTCTGAGGACTCAATTAATTGGTTCTAGATTAACTGCATGAAAATCATGTGTGCTTGTGCCCTGAAGCCTGGCACAAGGAAGGTCCTCAAAAAGCTCTGCTTCCCTTCCCCTCCTTTCCTTCACTTCCCTTGCCACTGCCTTTATCCTCCTCCTACTATGGATCAATAATGTTGCATTGTCTTCACCTGTTTGCTCCTCGGTTTTCTCATCTGTGAAGTGGGGATAAAGAACATATTGGTTGTCATGAGGCTCACTTATGCTGCTGTAAGTCTGTGAAATTTCAAGACTCCCCAAGGATTCTTCACAGTGGGAGTGAGGCCACACAGAGTCTCATGGTCACCTTTGGCTCTCACTCGTTTTGCTGAATTAGCTCAGCACAGATGTCTTGATGGCCCTCTGAATACTCGGTGGCTGTCGGGACCCATGGCCAGGTGCAGTGGCTCACCCCTGTAATCCCAGCACTTTGGGAGGCCAAGGTGGGAGGGTTGCTTGAGCCCAGGAGTTCGAGACCAGCCTGGGCAACATAGCGAGACCCAGTCTCATATACATATACATATATATACACACACATATACACACACACACACACATATATATATGCCAGGTGTGGTGGCATGTACCTATAGTCCTGAGAGGCAGGAGGATTGCTTGAACCCAGGAGGTCGAAGCTGCTGTGAGCCATATTCGTGCCACTGCACTCCAGCCTGGGCAACAGAGTGAGACCATGTCTCAAAAAAAAAAATTTCATTAGCACTTTGGGAGGCCGAGGCAGGCGGATCACAAGATCAGGAGATCGAGACCATCCTGGCGAACATGGTGAAACCCCGTCTCTACTAAAAATACAAAAAAAATTTAGCTAGGCGTGGTGGCGGGCACTTGTAGTCCCAGCTACTCGGGAGGCTGAGGCAGGAGAATGGCATGAACCCAGGGGGTGGAGCTTGCGCTGAGTGGAGATTACGCCAGTTCACTCCAACCTGGGTGACAGAGTGAGACTCTGTCTCAAAAAAAAAAAAAAAGTAATTGACGAAGATTATATATATTTAAGGTATACAATGTGATGGTTTGATATACATACACATTGTATAATGCTTATCACAATGAAATTAACACATCCTTCACCATCTATGCCGTGCACTCAATCCTCAGAACTTGTTCATCTTTTTTTTTTTTTTTTTTTTGAGTTGCAGTCTTGCTCTGTCACCAGGGCTGGAGTGCAGTGGTGAGGTCCCACTCACTGGAACCTCCGCCTTCCAAGTTCAAGCAATTCTCCTGCTCAGCCTTTCAAGTAGTTGGGATTACAGGCACGTGCCACCACGCCTGACTAATTTTTTTTTGTATTTTTAGTAGAGATGGGGTTTCATTATGTTGATCAGGCTGGTCTCAAACTCCTGAACTCGAATGATCTGCCTGCCTCAGTCTCTCAAAGTTCTGGGATTACAGGCATGAGCCACTGTGCCTGGCCAGAACTTGTTCATCTTATAACTAAAGTTTGTACCCTTTGACCATTTCCCCATTTCCCCACTTCCTAATCCCTGGTAAGAAAGGGGTGAGGAGGAGAGAATGAGAGAGAGCAGTAAGGCTCTGAGATTGAGAATAGCTGAGGGTGAAGAAGCCAGTAAACATCTCAGAGCTGGTGTGACCATGGAATCTTTAGGAACAAAAGTATCTGCTAGTTTCATTCAAAATACTTTATTGGCACACCCCACTCCATCCAGGTTGCCAATAGGAGCTCCAAATACTTTTTGCCTTTTTCATGTAGCCATCTAGTTTTCCTCAGCTCGGCTTCAGGCGCACTTTTGCAAATCAAAGCCATTCAGCAACTCAGAGGATCAAAAAGGGGCTTAGTTGAAGGTAGCAGTGTCTGACTGGCAACCGTCTGTGTGCTCCCTTACACATAGGGTCCTGTGTAAGAAGCCTACACACAATGCCTGGCACACTGCATTCCACACATGGTATGTACACTCCTTGGGCAATGCCTCCTAAAGGCTTAGGACCATTCCCTGTCCTCCCGCGGCACCCACACTCAGATCCTGCCTCACAAGACCCGACATGATTTGGTTCTTCACCGCTCCTCTGCTCTCTTCTCACTTTCCAGCCATGGGATGGCCCCTCTTTCTCTTTTCCTGCCTGAGGCTCCCAGAAAACCTCTTTCCCTACCTTCTGCATAAATCTTACTCTCCCTTGGGCTCAGTTCAAAGCTTCTGCCTCAGAAGTTGCTCTGGCCGCTGAAATTAAAAGAGGCCTCCTTCTGTTCATTTTACTCGTGGCATCACCATGCAGTTTTCCGTGTATCACCGTCAGTTTCCTTGCGTGCGTGTTTGGCTTTTCACTTGTTTCCCCCCCTTGCACTGTAAACCTCTCAAGGGCAGGACACTCGCTTTCTTGAGCGGCGCTGTCATGCTCTTCACGTGTATGCTTAATGAATGAAGCGGTGAACCCTCAGAAATTCGCCTCCAGATGAGCGCCATGGCCTTCTCGGCGTCTCCTGGCCTTAGAACATCACCGTTGGCTCTCCCTCAAGTGTGGGCTCCCAAAGCAAGAACATGACCCTGTCCTGAACCCAGGCCGCCACTCCAGGGCCTCCGCCGGTACACACCTTCAGCCACAGCCTAACGCACTCTGGTAGGGGCAGACCGCCACGCCCCCACCCCTCCAGACGGAAGGACTGCAACCCCCACAAGGCACCGCGACTCAGCGCCACCCGATTGGTGAAGCCTCCGGCAGCGACCAATAGGACGTGGTTTTGTTGGCGTGTGCCGCGGCCGCGCGAGTCCTGGAAAGCGTTGTTGGCTCGGTTGCTCTGGAGCTGGGTCCGGGTCTAGTGGCTGCCCGCCCTCCAGCAGCTCGCCATGGGGAGCACGGAGAGCAGCGAGGGCCGTAGGGTGTCCTTCGGAGTGGACGAGGAGGAGCGGGTCCGGGTGCTGCAGGGTGTCCGGGTGAGCGACGCCGCCTGGGCCGGGGCGGGCGTGGAGGCCGCGGGCGGGCGGGGGAGGTGCGGGGCGGAGCGCGGGGCCGATGCTTCTTCCACGCGTGAGGGACGTGGGGGGCTTGGGAGACTCCTGGGGCTCAGGCCAGGAAGAGGCTGCACCGAGACGCGAGCCCGAGGCTGGCAGCCTTGTAGCTTCGCGACACCGGCTTCAAAGAGGGAGAAGTGGAGAACGGGACAGGTGCGAGGCCCCTGGGACGCGAGGGACGCCCTGGCCATGTCCTGGCTCCGGTCGGCTTAGTTTTTACGTTTCTTGAATTTGCGCCTGGCCTCCCAGCCAGTGTCCCCTCAGGTGCGCGCGTTCAGTTCTGGGTACGCGGTGCCTCCCACCTGGGCTTTGCCTGGGGACTCAGCTCTTCCCCGCCGGTCTGTTCTCCACAGCACATCTGCGGGGCGCTGGAAGAACCATAGCTCAGATACGATCCCCTTCCCTGCCTGAAACCCTCCAGTGGGTTCCTAGCGCGCTTGGATATTGCCTTACCTGGTTCCAAAGCTGGCCGGTGCCCGCCGACCTCTGGGACTGCATCTCGGGCCATTTCCCTCGCGTGGCAACCGCACGTAGTCCCCAGCCTCAGGACCGCCGTGTTTTCCTGGAGGGTGCCGCTGGCTCAGCACAGGGTCTGTGCACCCGCTGTTCTCTCTCCTTCAGCTCTCCTTAAATCCCGCTCCTTCTTGTAATTCTTGTAGTTCAGATATCCCCTGAGAATCCTTCCCTGACCACCCAATCTGAAGTAGCCTCCCACCCCCCGTCACACATTTATTATTTTCATCGCACTCATCACAATGATCACTTTTATTGGTAATTGTTTACTTGTTTATTGCATTTACCGCTAGAGTGTAAGCTTGTTGAGGCTAAGGTTCCTGTCTGATTGAAGACTGTCCCCAGAACCCAGAAGAATAAAAGCAGCCCTTATTGCAGGGTAGGGGCCATGCGTTGGACTAAACCCTGTATAAGTAACTGATTTAATTTTCAACAGCCCTGTTTAGCCCATTATTAAAGATTAAGGAGAACTAAGGCACTGAGAGGTGAAGAAACTGATCCAAGGTCATGTAAATAGTAAGTGGGAGAACTGGGATTGAAACAAGCCGATTCCGGGGCATGTTGCTGTGCTCGGTCTCTTCCTACACCTGTGTCTACACCTGCAGGTGCTTTGTAAGTAACTGTGGAGAGATGAGTGAACCCAGTAAAGGGGACCAAGATTAAATGAAATGCACAGAGCTGGTTACAGGTGAATTAGTTAAGGAGGAATTAGGGAGGTGGCTTAGAAAGACAGACTTTAGGAGGTCTTTCAGGTGCTCATTAGCTGTGTGACCTTGGGTGAAAATCTCTTTTGAGCCTCAATGGCCACATTTAAAAAAAAATGATGTGTATGTATCCTATGTACTGCCTAGGATAAGATGATGTCTGTGAAAGTGTTAAGGAAACGCACAGAGAGAGTGCTTTGAGGAGGCCTCTCTTCTTAGCCTAGCAGAGTACTTGGCACATTTGGGGCTTTCTAGGTGTTGTATAGTTTTGTTGACCTCCCTTGTGGCAAGGATTAAACAGGGGAGGAGATGGCTTGTGTTGGAAGGCCGAGAGGGAGGAACCTGAATTGGAATTTAGAAAGATAAGCTTGGCTCTGTTTGGGTGCTCTCACCCTTATGATTTGGTCTCCTGTTTTGGGGAATGTTGGAAAGTTAAGTTGGAGTCTTCAGAGGTTCAGGGGAGTGCCTTTGGGGGTGCCTTCTTCCAAGTTGATTGGAAACCTCATGTTTTTTGAGTGTTATATAAGACAGGTACATTTTATTTCGAGTTCTCTTAAATACTTCTGCAACATATAAATTCTCTGTATTTAAAGATGGAGAATTGGGCTTAGAGGGGTTAAGGAATTTGCCCAAGGTGTTAACCTAAGTAACTTCTGGGACTTTAATTAAGATCTTTTGGGTGCAAAAAGCAACTTTTTCTCACTTCTCTAATTCCCTCCCCTCCCCACCCCACTGCCCATGATGTATGCAAGGCAGCCTGAAAATTTTGTGACAATACCCGCACCTGTCCTTACAGGGATGTTAGTGCCCCACTTAGTTTTAAAACTAGAAGGGACTTTGGTGACTGACTGCTTTCTTTTCCAGCTGGGCAAACTAATCAGAGAGAATAAATGACTTGTCCAGAGGTGCACAGTAAAGTGCACAGCCCCATGCAATGAGAGCCATGTCCTTCCTTCTGCTTGTGTTTGAAAGAGGAAAACTGAAGAAAGGAGGTGATGGTAATGAAGAAAGGATGTTTTGGTGTAGGGGCTTCTTCTGTTAGCAGAGTTGCTTGAGGGTTGAGGAATTCACCTTGTCTTTAGGTAAGTGAGTGAAAAAGATTGCCAGATCAACAAAACAGTTGCCAAAGTGAACAAATGAGTTAATTTAATGAGAGGCAGATGCCAAAGAAGAGCTGCCCCAGCTTCTTTAGAGCAAGTTGAATATTCTTAATGACCATTTGTATTTAATTCTTGAGGCCTGGTCCTAGAAAGTGTTCTAGTCCCTTTAAGATTAAGTATTAGTGGCCAGTAGTGGTGGCTCATGCCTATAATCTCAGCACTTTGGGAGGCCGAGGTGAGCAGATCACCTGAGGTCAGGGGTTCAAGACCAGTCTGGCCAACATGGTGAAACCCTGCCTCTACCAAAAATACAAAAGTTAGCTGGGCATGGTGGCACACACTTGTACACCCAGCTACTTGGGAGTCTGAGGTAGGAGAATCCTTGAATCCAGGAGGCGGAGGTTGCAGTGAGCCGAGATTGCGCCAGCCTGGGTGACAGAGAGCGACTCCATGTTAAAAAAAAAAAAAAAAGATTAAGTGCTAGGCCTTGCTAGTTTACATACTTAATTTGCATACATTCACAAAGTGTGTTCAAACCGTAATTCCATGGAAGGTAAAAGAAATTTAATGAATGCAAAATGCTGCAGTTATATTCAACTCCAGTTTTCAGAGCAAATGTATGAAATACGTAAAGATTTTGTTTCAATCAGTACATTTAACCTCGTCCTTCAGTAAGAGAAGGCATACATGGCAGTCATGTCCCATATGTGTCCACCTTCCCTCTTCTCCTCTCCACATGAGTTGCCGCCTTTGGTGATTCAGCTGACGTTGGTTGCTTGTGAGCATCCAGACACCTCACTGTTCACCAACCTTTTCCCCTTTCCCATCACTGAGCCCAATCCTGTTCCAGTCACTTGCATGTTCCCAGAGTCATTATCCCCTCCAGGCTTGATCAACTTTACTGTCATGCATTGCTGCCATGAGGCTGATTCTGGACCACGACAGAGGGGAAGATCAGGAAGAATGTAGTCAGACACACAAGAGAGTCCCCCAGTGTGCCAGTGCCAGAGAGGCCGTGTGCCAGAGCACTGTACCTGCAGCCGCCAGTTATTCCTCACCTCAGTGAATGTCCACTGTCTTCATGTTACTTGTCCAGCACTGGGCCTGGCCTTGCTGAGACAATGAGGGACAAAGCCGAGGACCCTGTCATCATAGAGACCTCAGCCCAGTAGGGAGAATGGACCAGAAAAGAAGAGACACAGGCAAAAGACTCAAAGAGCTGCAAGAGCTAAGGAGGAAACAAAAAGTGTGCAAAGGCTACTGGGGCTGCCCACTTGAGGTGGGATGGTCAGGCAGTGCCTCTCAGGAGGAGATGTTGACTGTGGCCTAAGCCAGCCCTGTGAAGCGTGTGCATATTCACTCTGTGCTAAGCACTGTGCCTGGCGTATTTGGAGCATCACCCCAGAAATTCCACATGCTTACCTTGTGAGGGGTCATTATCCCCATCTCAGAAGGGAGGAAACAGGTTCAGTGAGGTGAAGTAACCTAAGGTCACAGAGCTGGAACCTCAGGGTCTCTGACTCCTTAGCCCACGTGCTTGGCAGCCACAAGGAGGGTAGGATGCTTGAGGATGTGGCAGGTGGTGAGGCCAGACTCAGGGCCTAAATGCCAGGCAGGGCTGTGAACATGTTGTTCTGGAGGCCACACTGCAGTTCTTTGGTCAGGAGCAGAGCTTTGGAAAGGTTCTATCTGGTGACACTGATTTTTCTTTAAAAACAAAAAGCAACAGGTTTAAGCCAGGTGCAGTAGTATGTACCTGTAGTCCCAGCTACATGGGAGGCTGAGGCAGGAGGATCACCTGAGTCCAGTGGTTTGAGTCCAACATAGCAAGACCCCATCTCTTGAAAAAAAAAAGTTTTTTTGAGATGCATTTTACATATTATAAAATTCACCCATTTCAATGCTTTTTAGTAAATTTACACAGAATTGGGCAACTGTCACCACAATCTAATTATAGAACATTTACAAGACCTAAAAAGATGCCTTGACCTGTTTGTAGTCACTCCCCATTCCCACTCCCAGTCCCAGGTAACCATTAATCCTGTTTCTCTATAAATTTACCTTTTCTGGATATTTCATAGATAGTCACCTCTTGGTCTTTCAATGACTTATCTATGGGTCATTGGTTCCAGGACCCCCGTGGATACCAAAATCCTTGGGTGCTCAAGTCCCTTATAGAAAATGGTGTATTTGCATATAAACTACACACATTCTCCTGTATACTTTAAATTATCTCTAGATTACTTATAATACCCAGTGTAAACTTTATGTAAATAGTTGTTACACTGTGTTTTTAAAGATTTGTATTATTTTTTATTGGTATATTATCTTTTATTTCTTTTTCTCAAATGTTTTCCATTGGATCCATGGATATGGAGGACTGACTGTAAATGATTCATGCAGCGTTTATTTCTGGCTGCTTCTACTGAGCAAGTGTTTTTGATGTTGGTTCATTGATGTAGTAGTATATATCAATAGTCCATCCTTTTTATTGCTGAATGGTATCCTGTTTTATGTATGTACTGCATTTGGCTTATTCAGTCACCAGTTGAGGGCATTTGAATTTTTTCTACTTCTTGGTTATTGTGAGTAATGCTGCTATGAA